AAAATATAAAGAATAAAAATAAAAATATAATAAAAAATAATATATAAATGGTAATTAAAAAAAAAATATTAAATAAAGAATTTGATTATATTAATTTATATAGGGAGCCCATAAATCCTTAATATTCAAAAAGCGTTTATCTAAAAAAATAAAGTAAAACAGACCTTTACCTAACTGGTATAGATATAAAACTGATAATAATATTAGGTAATAAAATATAATAAAGTATTAATTAATTTAAAAAATAGATATAACTCTAAGAGAAGAAACTGGAGAAAAACTAAACTTAAAGTATATTGAATAATATAGAAGATATATATATATTTAGTTTTTACTATTTTATATTTGTAGCATTTAAAAATTAAAAAAATAATAAAAATTTATATTTAAACTTATTTTAAATTTATTATAATTATAAAAAAATAAATAACATATTAATTATTATTATATTTAATTAATATAATATTAATTATTATTATTCTTCATTTTTATCTTCATTTTTGTGAATATAAAATGTTTTATTCATTTAATTTTTCTTCATTTAACAAAAAAAAAAAAACAATTTTAATTATCTTTAGAAATATTTTATCAAACAAATTAAAAAAAATATTTATAAATTATAATAAAAATTGACGAATAAACAATTATATTGAAAATAAAAATTGGAATAATTTAATATAGATTCGAGTTTTAATTATTTTATGATTATTAATAAAACCACTATTCGTATCACATATATGTATATATAATTTATTAATAAATGTTTTATTTAAAAATAATAATCTATAACTATTAAAGTTCATTATCAACAAAAATTTAAAGTAATGTAAATATACTTTAATTTCTATTTTTATATTGAAATATTTATACATTTTTATTTTAAATAATCAAAAAAAAATTAATAGTTTAAATAAAAAAAGTATTTATTTTTTTAAAAAAAATACATATATTTAATATTTTTTATTTTAATTTTTATATATTAAAAAATAAAATGTAATATAACAACTAAGAAAGTAAAAAATAATCATGTTGTTATAGATTATTTAATTATTTAAAACCAAATTAAAATAAAATACAGCAAAATCATAATTAGAACCAAAATTTAAATTAACCATCTTAACCAAACCTTAATATAAATAATGCAAATGTAATATAAAATCCACTTGAGCGAAACGAACTTCATGAAGTAAAAGCTTTATATGGAAATTTTAATTTAACATATAGTAAAGTATCTTAAAAAGAAGTGAGAGAAACAAATGAAGATAAATTAAAATATAAATATAATTGTCCAATATGCTTGATATATTTTACAAGTACTAAAAAAAATGCAAAATTTAAAAGAATAAGATTTTTTTAAAAAAATAAATAGAAGTTTTATAAATGAAATGTTGTAAAAATTATGTATGCTTATAATGCGCAGATGATATATATGAGTGTAAAATACATTATAAGTATTTTATATATATATATTTAAAAGAAATCGAAAACAAAAAATTGAAGATAAATGCTGGTGGTGTAAAAGTTCTGAATGTGAATTAATTGATATAAATTCTATAGATTAAGTATTTTTTAAAAAATAAAAAAATTAATTATTATAAAATAAGATTAAAAATTATAGTAATTCAGATATTATAAGATAAACTATTTTAAGAAGTCAAATTAAAGATTTCAAAGTTTCAAAAAATAGATTTTATTTAACTTAACCAAAATAAAGCCACTTTTAATAAAAAAAATTAAGTTAAAGCTATAATAATGATGTTTATCAAAAAAATTATTAAAGTTTACCAAAAAGAGAAGAATAATAAATTTTAAATATGGAGAAAACAGAAAAATCAAGGTTTATAAATACTGTTAATTTTGAATATGGGCAATATTAATAAAGAGAAGAAAGAAAAAAATAAGAAATTGAAGAAAGTGAAGATTTAAATGATAGAGCATGATAAAATACCATAAATTTAAATTATAATAATATAAGAAAATAATTTAAATTTTTTTTTTAATTTTTCACATTATATTATTATTATTATATTATTATTATTATTATTATTATTATTATTATTATTATTATTATTATTATTATTATTATATTAAATTTAAACTTTCTGTATTGCTTAATATCTAATAATATTTATTAGCCTTAAATTTATTTTTTTATATTATTCCAGCAAAACACATAGTATTATAAGTATTTTTAAATCAAATAGATACAATTGCATAAGAAAAAAGCGAAAAAGTAATTCTATATACCAATTTTCAAAAGAAATATTATATTATTTTACAACTTAATAAAATTTCTCCCTTTTTAAGTCTTAAGTAAAACTAGGCTATATAAAATGTTTTTCTTTTTACTTAAATTTCATAAGCAATTTTTAATGAATATTCCTATCATAATAGTCTTTTTTTTAGCTTTTTTAACTTATCTTTTTTCTTTTAATATCTTATCCTTTTATCATTTTTAAAATTATAAGTAGTAACCGCTCCACAAGATAAACTACTTAGTATTATTAAATCCCATGAATTATTCACGAATATTCGCATTATTTGACCCGATGAGGTTATTATTAAACCCCCCCAATCTTTACTGAAATTGATGCATTGCAAGTATATATAATAATATTTACTCCTACTTAATTATATAGGTACATCATAGAATATACTGATATGTTTAAAAATACTAAAAACAGATTATAAATCGTAAATATTTATATGAAAGCGCTTCTATTGTTTAAAATGAAAAAGCTATTATTGAGTTTACTATATGGATTATTTTTTATAAAGTTAGTTAGGTAAATAATATTTGCTTTAATTATAAAATCTATTTCTATGCAATTAATGAGATAGAAAGATAAGTTATTTAAAATTGGGCTATAAGAATTAATAATTTGTTTTTTATTTTAATTTATTTTGTTCGATATATAATTTTATTATTAAAGAAAATTAATTTATTTATATCTGTTTTTATTATATAGTATTATTTTTAATTTCCTTTTTATTTTTAAAAGTATTAATTTAGTTGCTAAACTGCAGTAGTATTTTTTTATTTTCTAATTAGAAAAATAATAATTATTATTAATTCGTAATTTTTATATCAATATGTAAATATAGATTAAATTTTTTTTTTTTTTTCAATTTTAATTTTTTTTTTTTTTTTTTATAATTTTATTTTTCTTCTATAAAAATTTTCTGGAAATTTAATATTCGAAATGTAATGTATATTTAAAATAAAAATAAGAATATAATTTTATAATATTTAATATTTTTTAAAAATTAAATAATTTTTTATAGTAAATATTTTATACAGAGACAAATTAAATATTACATTCAAAATTTTTTTTTTTTTTAATTTTTTTTTCTTATTAATTCTATTATATATACTTTGGAACAAATAATAATTTTATAAATATAAAAAATGAGTATAGTTGAACTCAGAATATGTGGACGTTATAAACTTGAAAGCAAAATGGGTAACGGTACATTTGGTTAAATATTCTAAGCAAAAAATATATAAAACAACAGTCAAGTAGCTATAAAAATGGAATATATATAATCCCGTCATCCTCAAGTATAAACATATAATTTAAAAAAACAAAATAATAAAAAATAAAACTAAAGTTATTATATGAAGGATAAATACTATAAAAATTGTAAGGAGGTATAGGCATACCAAACATGCATTGGTATATAACAAATATATATAATTTTATTAAAAATTATAATAAAGGTGTGGATAAGAAGGAGATTATAATTTTTTAGTAATGGAAATGTTAGGATAAAATTTATAAGAATTGTTTGTCCTATGTGGAAATAAATTTTCATTAAAAACAGTATTAATGATAGCTGATTAAATAATAAACAATTTAGAATATATACATTATAAAACATATCTTCATAGAGATTTAAAACCCGAAAATTTTATAATTGGTTCTTTAAAAAGGCAAAAATACATATATACTATAGATTTTGGACTTTCAAAGAAATTCAGAGATACAAAAACATACGAACATATACCTTTTCGTGATAAAAAGCCTTTAATAGGTATTTATATATATATATATATATAATTATTTTATATATTTTATCAAAAAGTAAAAAAATAAAAGGAACTGCTAGATATGCCAGCATAAATTCCCATAAAGGATACGAATAATCACGCCGAGACGATTTAGAGAGCCTAGCTTATATGCTAATATACTTTTTAAAAGGAAGTTTACCTTGGTAAGGATTATAATGTTAAAATAGAGAAGATAAATATTTTCAAATTCTTGATATGAAAACAAATTATACAGAAGAAGATTTATGTGGAAACCTTCCGCCTGAGTTTTGGATATTTTTAAGTTATTCAAAAACCTTGAAATTTGATGAAAAACCAGATTATACTTATGTAAAAAAAATCTTCAAAGAAAGATTTGTTAAAGAAGGCTATTTATTTGATTATGTCTATGATTGGACCCTAATTCCATTAAAAAATAAAAACATTTAATATCCAATTAAATTACCACTTACTGTTTAAATGATTTCCAATGAATATAAATTCTTAAAAGAAAATAAAGATCTGTTAGACTTATCTAAATCATAAATTGGAGATACTAGCTATTAAACAGAAGTAGCAGAAGGGGTTTAAGGAGATTTAGATTCGAATTATTTTAAGTAATAATAAGAATAAGATAATAATCAAGAAACAGTTGATAAATAAAAGTAATAGAATGTAGAACAGTAGTAATAAATTTATGAATAATATAGGTAATTGTAGTAAATATAATAAAATCTATAAATCGAATAGTAAAAGAAATCTAATACAAATCATAAAAAAAATAATAATGGGGATTGTTAAGTTTATTGAGCTTTTCTTTTATTTTTTGTATATATTATATATATATACATATTTTTTTATTTTATTTAAAAACACATTTTTTTTTTTTTTAAATTTTAATTATATCATAAAAAAAATAAGAAAATTAGAATAAGGATTATTTTTTTAATTAATCCATATTTATAAATGGCTTTTAAAAGATAATTTTAATTAATTTTTTTTTTTAATTATTGTATATTTAAAAGAGAAATATTTAAATAAATATATAATATTTTTATATCAAAATTAATAATTATTTTAATTAAAATATAATTTTTTTATATACATATATGATAAGTTAATTATATTTTTAATATAAACCTATAATTAAAATCATATAAAAATTAAATTTGGTTTTTAAAAATAAAAATAAAATTATATTTAAATATTTATTTAAACTATGATAAATATATATTAATGTAAAAAATACATTCATATTTGTATTATAAATAAATAAATAATTTGAAGTTATTATGAAATTTTATTTATGTTTTTAGTTATAATGTATATTATTAAATAAATTTTTAAATATTAAAGAAACCTATTTAAATTTATTTATAATTAATAATTTTTAATTTATAAACAATAAAATAAATTATTTAAAAAATATAGTACTCTAAATATATTTTTTAACATAATACTAAATTATGAATTCATTACGACAAGAATAAAAATTAAATACTATATAAACTTAATTGGATAGTGATTAAAATTAAGCTTATAAATTAATAAAAAAATAAATTTCTAAAAATAGTAATAGTAATTTTAATTCAAATAAAAATGAATATTAATCTGATAAACAAAACAAAAAAAAAAAATTATTGAATTATAAACTGATAACTCTTAAAATGAATAATAATTGAATAAATTTGTAACTCCAAAAATGTCTAAGTCAATAACATCACAATATTTTAAATTTAATAGTTTCTTTGGTAATAGATTATTTATGGTTTAAAAATTTATTTAATAAATTAAAATGTAGTCTTCTAAATTAAGATTTAAATTATTAAAATAAAATCATATGAATATTATAGATGACAAAGCCTCAAGTTATGAATATTTACTTTAAAATAAAATGGTAAACTAAAAAGATGAGTCTTTTTTCTAAAAAATAATATAATTTATTTAAAGTAAAATAAAAAAAATAAAAATATTTTATATATAGATATATTAACAAATAAGATAAAGAATTAATAAACAATAAATAAGAATAAGATGCCTATATTTTAAAACCTGTAAATAATATATTAATTTAAATAATTTTTATATTTTATTTATTTTAGAATTCTATATTATTTTTGTTATGGAATATTATTTTATTAATATTTCTTATTTTAAGAATAATCTATATTCCTTTGTAATTAGGACTTTTTTATTTTGAAATAAATATTCCTTAAATAATAATTTTTAATTTAATTCCTGATGTATGCTATGGTGCCTAAATAATTATTGGATTTAATAAAGGTATAAACAAAAAATTAATATATTTATATAATTTTAAAAAACAGCAATATATAAGAAAGGGATTTTAATATAAAATAGATCAGTTATTATAAAAAATTACATTAAAAAAAGATTCTTTAGAGATTTTATAATATTATTAGTTATGTTAATTGAATATTTCAATAAGTCTAATTGGCTTCAAATATTGGTAATATTTCTATATCAAGATATAAGTGAAATATTAGCAGAATTTGATGAAAAATATCATTTAAGAGAAAAAACTAAAGGTGTATTTGATCTCACAAAATTAGTGTTTTTCATACTTTATATAGGACATATATGTGGGTGTTTATGGAACTTTATTGCAATGAAAGAAAGAGAAAGTGGAATGGCAGATGATCAATTATGGATTGGAACTTATAAGGAAAACTGGTTTGATAGATATATAGATAGTATGTATTGGGCTGTTGTAACTATGTGTACTTTAGGTTATGGAGATATAACACCTAAAACAAAATGTATAAAATAATATTTTAAATATATAGTTTTTTTTGTTTTTTAGATGAAAAAATTTTTGTAATGGGAGTTGTACTTATTTCTACTTTTGTTTTTGCTTTTTCTATGAATTTAATTGGAGATACTATAAAAGAATTTTATAGAAAAGAAAAAGAGTTTTAAGATTATATTTAGAAAATAAATATTTATATGAAGAAAAGAAATATTAATGAAGATAATTAAGTTAGAATTAAGAAATATTTAAAATATTTAAATATTTAAAAAAACGATTATTTTAATTCTGAGATTTTATTAGAATAATTAGGTAAATTAATTTGATAATAATAAAATTTATTAATAATATTTTCAATTTATAGAAGACAATTTGAAAGAAGATGTCAAGTATGATATATTCGGAAATTTATTGAAAAAGTAATCTATTTTAAGAGACTCATTTGATGTTTATAAATTATCTTAAAAAATGGAAGAAAAAGTATTGCCTTTTAACTAGTATATTTTTACAGAAGGCGATTAATCGGAATATTTATACTTTTTGCTAAAAGGATCATTTACTATTTATAAGAAATAAAAATAAATTTTATTTGATTCAATAAGTGTAAATAAATATATTCAATTTTTTTTTTTTTTCTTAATAAAAAAAGTAAAAAGGAAAAATATTTGGATAAATATAATTTTTTAGTGGATAATAATATAATTATTCAGTAAAGACAAATTCAACTGTAGTTTTAGCATAAATATCCAAAGAAGATTTCCTATAAGTAATAAAGGATGACCCTTAATAATACGAAAAATATATGAAACTAAAAGATTAATATAATATATATAAAGAGTTCTAAAGTTATTAATGTAATGTTTGCTTTAAATATGGACATGATATTTTAGAATGCCCTATAATCAACTTATAACATAAACCGTATAGACTATAAATTAACTAACAAAACGAAAGAAATTAAGATAAAAATCGTTATCGACATAAAACTTGCTCAAGAAAAGATTTAAAAAATTTATAGGATCTAATTCAAAAATATATTTAAAACTAAGAGCATATTATATAGGAAGAAGAAGAATGTAATAAATATTTTTAAATAAATAAAAAAATTATTTGATTATATTAAAAAATAGAGTACTAAAATCAGTAATCTCTTTCTAATTTTGTTCCAAGTCTTACAGAAGATTCCGATAATTAAATAGTATTCTAAAGTAAAGCAGAAATAAATACTAATAAAGTATAACTAATATATTATTGAAAAAGAAAAGAATTAAATAGATTAGAACAAAAGTAAAATAAATAATTAATTTAATGAATAAAATATTAGTTTAAATAATGTAGTTGAAACTGACTTTTAAACAAGTTAATCTAATTTAAGCTAATAAAAAATTTATTAACTATAAAAGTAGATAAACCCTAAATAAAAGGAAATTTTGAATTAATAAAAATCTTTTGTTAAGAAATAAAGCAAAAAGAAATATTATTCATAATTTAATAAATATTAAAAAGAAGATATAACTAAAAGTTAAAATATAAGTTTTAATAAGAGTAATTATTATATTAAAAAATTAAAAAAAATAAAATATTATTTTATAACAAGGATTGGAATCGAGTAAATAACAAAAAATCTATAATTAAAATGATCAAAAGTATTCTGTTTCTTAAATGATTTTAAATAAAATTGCTTTTAAATAAAGTTAGGAAAGAATTGCTTAAAATATTAATTTATAAAATAATGAAGAAAATAATGAAGATAATAATAAATATAATGTTTAATTATTTAAAAAAAAATCTTCTAAAGGATATTAGAATTTTAAAGATGGAGTGTAATCAAGTTACTAAGATTTAGATTAAAGTGATTTATCTCCAATTAATTAGAATATTTATAAAATAAATTAATATCTAAAAGATATATAAGAAATAAAAATTTTAAAAGTTAATATTTTAAATTAAAAAGAGGATGAATAAGATAATGAAATTATCTAAAGAAATATCGAATTTAAAAGATAATAACAAAAAAAAGAAGATTAAAAAAATAGTGACTTAATTTTATCATTAAAAAATATACTATATATAGGTTATAAATAATATGATGATGAATTATAAGATTTATTTGAAAAAGGAAAAGAGTTCAAATATTATTATCCAGAAAATAATAAAGGAAATGTTATTATAAAAATATAAAGTTTAAGAAAAAAAATAAAAACTTATAAATCTTATAAAACTTAAAAAACTATTTAAGTTAGAAAAGTAAAAGTCAAATAAAAGTAAAATTGAGATATTAATTAAATTTTAAAAATAAAGATAATATATAATTATTTAATATTTTTTGTTTTTATATATATACATATATAATAATTATATATATTATATATATATATATGTATTTAAATAATATTTTTTTTTTTATTATATTAATATAAACAAAATTAATTTTTTTATTATATATAGATAAAATGGAATCAATTTAAATAACAAATTTTATATAAAAAAATAATTTTTTTTTATAAAATAAATAAATAAATATTTTAGAAAATAATACTAAAAGTTTTATTATTAATAATTATTTATATATTAATTTAAATAACATATAAAAAAATCAAGATAAAATACATTTTCAATTAATTTTAAGTTTTTGTTTAAATTTATTTACAGTATAACTTGTTATATTTTTTTCAAAAGTATATTTAGTTATCTTCCATATCAATACTTATATATCAAAATTCTTAAATATGTTAAAATAATTTAAAGTTTTTAAAAAGTAATAAAAAGGTATATAATTAGCATTTAGAAAAAAAGAAAAAAATATATTTTTATATATAAATCAAAGATAAGATATTTTTTAAATTATATTTTATGGAAAAATAAGCATAATAAGATATCATACATTAATATAGAAAAAATAAAGAAATTTGAAAATACATAATTTTTATTTTTACCAAAATATTATTTGTCGCATTATAAACTTATTCAAAACATAATTTATTTTGTTTTATGATTTATATTGTTTTTTTATTTTCTCTGTATTTTTTTTAAAAAAAAATCAATAAAAGAAAATATAAGACCCCCCCCCTAATTCATTTTTCTCACCTTTATTTTATATTTATTGAGTTTTTTTTTTTTATAAAAAAAAACTAATATATAAATAAAAAATAATAATGTTAAAAAGTAATATTGTATTTATCAAAATTATTTTATAATTTTTAAAATAAAAATTTAAATTTATTAATATCACATTTCTGTTGTCCCATAAAAATATTTTAACATTGCTAAGCATTTCTATAAATCTTATTTTAATTCCTTTTTAAATAATTTAAATTAATATAATATAATATTATTAATTATTTTTATATTACATCACATGTTATTATATCTTTATCATCATATTACTTGTCACATTCAATAAATTTTCTATAAGCCGGCCTACATCCTACCCTAAAAAGTTTTTTATTTAAATCGAATTAATCGTTTTATCCTGCTCTCCACCATTATTCTTCGTCATCTTATTCTAACTCTTTTAATTTTTATTAATATTCTTATTAATCTTTTAAATCCATATTTATAATTTTAAGTTATAATTATACAAACTAAAAATAAAAATATTTTATTATTATTATTAAAATTTAATTAACTTTTTTTAAATAAGAATAAAATTTAAATATTTTTATATAAAAGCATATTGTTTGTATGTATTTTTAATTTTATAGTAAAACTAAAACTTTTAATTAATAATTAAAACGTTCAAAAACTAATAAATTAATTTTTGATGTTATTATAAGTTTTAATTTTAATTTACTTTTATTTATAATATTATAAATTAATTTAAAGTTTAAAGTATAATAATTTTAAATTTGTATTAATTTTTTTTAAAAAAGAGTGCCTAATTTATTTTAAATTTTTATTTCATATTACTGTTAATAATCATTTATTATTTAAAGAAAATTATCTTTAGAAATAGAAGCTATTACTGCCATTGAATTTGTTTTCAAAGAATGTTAATAAGGCAAGACTATACAGTAATAAATTAAAGTTCTCAAAAAAAAATTCCTTGCCGCTTTTATTTTTTTATAGTCATTGTATTTTATATTAATATAGTTTATTATTTATAAAATAATACCTATTCTTTTAATAAGAAATATAAATTTTCTGATTATTCTTCTTTTGTAAAAATATATTAATTATAAGCTAATATTTTTTTTGCATTTTTTAAGATAATTTGAATATTTCAAACTAATCTTTTAATAATGACTATTTTTTAGCTTTTTTCAAATATATTTTATTTCCTAATAATAATTTGAACATTTTCTTTAATTATTCTTTTCTTCATATAAATATTTATTTTCCATATATAATCCTTATTCTTTTCTATAAAATTATTTTATAGTATCTCCAATTTAAATCAAGGAAAAAACAAAAACAAAAGTAGAAATAAAAAAACATAACATAAATTTTTTCATCTGAAAAAAATAGATTATAATTTTGAGAGATTATTTAATACATTTTGTTTTAGGGTGCCCCCTAGCCCATATTAGAAATAGATATAACGGCCAAATACATAATATCAATATATATATCTATGTAATTAGGCTTAAAAATTTTTATCAATATTATGACAAGATTTTTATAACTATATAAATTATAATTTAGATGACTATAATTTAATTTTTAACAGTGTAATTAAAATTTATTTAAAGCGATTTATAATTTAATTATGTAAATATTTAAAAAAACTTTTATTGTTACTATTTTAAAATATTGAATCTCTAATAATTTAAATTTTCTTTATTTAAAAAGTTTGAATAGGATTTAGAAAAAATATACTTTTTATTTTATTATAAATTCTTTTAAGTAAAATAATATATTATTGAAATATTAAATATTATTCATATTTAAAGTTAAGGGATGTATTATATTAACATTTTATTAAAAAAAAAAAACTAATATAAATTATTATTAATATTAATTGAAAGTGATATAATTAAAAATTATTATAATTATTAAATATATGATAATATTTTATTTATATTAAATACTTTTATATTTTTATTTATATAATTAATTAATTTAGAGAAAATTATAATAATATTTTGCAATTATTATAATATATAAAAGATATTAATTACAAATTTTATTTAAAATAAAATAATTTTTTTAAATAATTTAATTTTAATAAATAAAATAGTTAATTTTAATTTATAAATTTATCTAATAATTTGAATAAAAAATAGAATACATTATATATTATATTTTAAAAATCATATAATATAATAATATATAATATTAAAATTTAAATTATTATTTTTATTTATATATTATACATGAAAATTAAATATTATATATATAATCTATATTTAAAGATATAAATCTATATTTTTATATATTATTAAAATTATTATAATAAATATAAAAAAAACTAAAATCTTTATATATATATTAAAAATATATATATTAATATATATTATATATATATATATATTATATTATATTTATGTTTTTATATATATATTTATATATATATTTATTAATTATTATATTTCTTTTGTAATATTAAAAATTTATACATTTAGATATTGATAATCTATTTTATATTTAAATAATTATTTCATTTTAATTACTTATAATATTTATGATTTTTCTTTACTAAAATTTTTAAAATAATTATATTATATTTAAAATATTAAATTATTTATAAAATCTTTAATTATATAATTTTTTTTTGTTAATTTAATTCTTAAAATTTTTATTATATATTATATATTATAATATAATAATATACTATAATATAAAAAAATGTACATTAATTTTTTTTTTTTTTATATATATTTTTCATTCGAAATGCAATTTTTTAAATTTATTCAATTTTTAATAATAAATGAAATTTTATATATTATTTTTATTATACATATTTATGTTTAAATTACCTAAAATTATATTTTTATTATTTACATACTTGTTTTTAATTTGCTATAAATGCAAAAAAAATTTATAATACTAGATTACTTGAATTTAACTATTTAGAGCAAAATATTACCACTAAGAATTTTTTTTTTCCTCATTTACTCTTAAGTTTAATAAAAGTTTAAAGAATTTAGTCTTTTATCGTTTTCATGAAACTTTTATTTATAAATACTTTAGATTTTACTTAAGAAATGTAAATTTTTTTAATTTACATTTATTTTTAGCTAATTTCTCTTTTTTTATGCTTAAATTAAAGTTTTAAAGTATTTGCAACATTGAATTTTATTTATTTAAAAAGTTATTTATTATATGGTTAATTTTTTTTGGAAATATATTTTGAGAGTATTAGCACAATAGTGTTTTTGATTGACAATTAAAAATATTATTTATGTACTTTAAATTCATTATATTGCTTTGAATTTCAATTATTTATTACAAAATTAAAAATTTAAACAAAAATTTTTTATTAATGTTTGGTTTTTAAATATTTAGTTTTTTTTTATATAAAGTTTTATTTATTTATGAGATTTTTTTTTGATATATAATAAAATCTATTAAAAAAGTTTAATAAATTATTGAAAGTTAATAGTAAAATAAAATATTAATTTAATTTTTTTTGAACTTTTAATAATTTTTTTATTTTTAACAAAAAATTATTTTACAAAATTAATATATTAAAATATTTTCTTTCAAATTATATCTCAATTTTTTTATTTTCAATTAAAAGCTATATTAAAAATAATAAATGTTAATTATTCAATATTTTTAAATATAATAACAAAAAAAAATATTAATTAAACTATTAAAATATATAATTTAAATAAAAAAATAAAACATTTTTTACTAATTTAATAAAAAAAAGAAAAAACAAAAATAATAATAAAATTTAAAAAATAAGTAAAAAAAAGAGATGAGTCGTGCAGTATTACAACCATTTGAAGAATACTAAAAAGCCAGAGTTCAATTTGTGTAAACAGTAGCTGTATTAGCTAGAAAGCCTTAAAACATCGAAGCATTGCAAGCAGCTGGTGTTATGGCCTTACTTAAGCCATTATTATTAGACAATGTTCCATCAATCCAACAAAGTGCAGCCTTAGCATTAGGTCGTTTAGCCAATTATTCCGAAGATTTAGCTGAAGCAGTAGTCTCAGCCGATATATTGAACCAATTAGTATTAAGTCTATCTGAATAGAATCGTTTTTACAAAAAAGCAGCTGCCTTTGTCCTCAGAGCAGTAGCTAAACATTCGACAAGTTTGGCCTAAAATGTCGTCGATTCAGGCGCATTGGATGCTTTAGTTGTTTGTTTGGAAGAATTCGATCCTTCAGTTAAAGAAGCAGCTGCTTGGGCTCTTTCAAATATTGCAAAACACTCTAGTGATTTAGCTTAAAGTGTGGTTGAAGTTGGAGCTGTTCCTTTATTAGTTTTATGTCTTTAAGAGCCTGAAACTGCTCTTAAAAGGATATCTGCAGGTGCTTTAGGTGAAATATGTAGACATTCTTAAGAATTAGCATAAAGTGTCGTTGATGCAGGTACACATTTTTTTTTTTCTTTTTTTTAAATAAAAAAATAAAGATTTATTTATTTATTTTTTAAGGTGCTGTGCCATTTTTGAGTGCATTAATTCCACATAATGATGCTTAATTGAAAAGATAAGTATGTAATTGTTTGGGTTACATTGCTAGACATACAATTGATTTGGCAGAAAGAGTAGTCGAAGCTGAAGTATTCCCAAAAATACTCTATAGGCTGAAAGATTAGGATTTATTAGTCAGAAAATTCGCAGCTACTTGTATACGTGAAATAGCTAAATAATCATAAGATATGGCAAAACTTATATGTAATTCTGGGGGAGCAGTAGCCATAGTAGATTATATTAATGATGCTAAAGAAAGTGCTAGACTTCCTGGAATTATTACCTTAGGTTATATTTCTGCTTTTGACGAATCTTTAGCTATGGGTGTAATTTCAGCAAAAGGTATTTTTTTTTTATAAAAAAATAAAAATATATATAATATATAAAAAAAGGTATTCCTCCATTAAAAGATGCACTTATTAAAGAAAAAGATGATCTAGTTTAAGCTGCTGCAGCCTGGACTTTAGGTTAAATTGGAGGACATAGTCCTGATCATGCAAGGGCTATGGCTGAAGCAGATATTCCAAGTGCATTATTAGCAGTGTATAAATTTAAAGATAGTAGTGAAGATTTAAAAAAAAAAGCTAAAAAAGGCCTTAAAAGTATTTTGTAAATGTGCAGTTTCTTAAATGCTTTAGAGCCTTTAATTTCTGAAGCTCCAGACGATATTTTATAATATGTATTACATTAATTTGCTAAAACTCTCCCACATGATAATGTGGCGAAAAAGAGTTTCGTTTAATCCGAAGGTCTTAAAAAAATTTAAGAAATTAAAGCTGCTCCAGGATCCAAATTAAGATAGTATATAGATTCTATTAACTCTATTTATCCCTAGGAAATCATTTAATATTATACTCCCGGTTATTAGTAAACTTTACTTAAAAAATTGGATGACTATAATACTGGTGATTGATTTATTTTATTTTTTGTTCTTGTTTTTCTACATTTTTTTTTAGTTTAATATTTTATATTACAAATTATTTTATTTTTTTATGATTATTATTAAATATATTTATTTTATCATGTTTTTTTTTTTTTTTAAACAAAAAAATAAGTAAATAATATTTTATTACTAAATTTTTATATTTGTTTGATTGATTTTTTTTTTATTAACTTTAAAACACAAATAAGAGTTATTATTATTTATTATAAAAAAATAATAAACTTAGGAAAAAAAAAAAAAAAAAAGCAATAAGTTTATTCCATACAAATATTAATAATAAAACAGCAAATCTTATATTAAAAAAAATGAATAATGTAAAAAAAATAAAAGTACCAAAAAAATTTGATAAAGATAAAAGTTCTTCATTATAAAAAAAATAAAAAAAATAATCAAAATCACCTCATAAAAAATCTAAATCTTCAGAAAAAGAAAAGAAATCTTTATCAAAACCTAAAACTCCGAAAAATAAAAAGTAAGGGGTAAAACAAAAAATATCGAAATCTTTAGAAAAACCAAATAAATTATAAAAATAAATAAATGAAGAAATATAAAAAAATGACAAAAAACGAAATATTAGTAGTTCAAATTCTAATGAGAATAAAAAAAATATTAAATAGGAAAAAAATCATAAATAAATAAAAGAAATTAAGCCAGTTTAAGGTTAATAAGAAAAAAAAAATAAAAATAATACTTCTCCTCCACATAAAGAACCAAAATAAGTTGAAAAACATAATTTTGTTTAAAAAAAAACAAATAAAAATAATTGAATGTATTATTTTATTTTATAATTATGTTTATTTACTTTCTATCATAAAAAAATTAAAGATTTTCATTAAAATTATGATAAATTGAATATATAATAATAATAATAATAATAAAAATATTATTATTTATAGCTTTTTATTATAGTTTAAAACATTTTAAAAGTAACAAAAAATATAATTATTATTAAACATATACTTTATTTATTTATTTGATATAAAATTTATTTTATTTTCTTATATTCATATAATATTTATTGATTATTTTATAATATAAATAACAAAAAAAAAAAAATTAAAATAAGTACTTTACAAAAAAAAAAAAATAATATATAAAAATTAAATCTCTTTATATAAATAATTAATATAAAAGAAAAACAAAAAATGGGATAAATAGCTATATAAGTATAAAAGATATTTTGTTGTAAAGATAAAGATAATACATAAGAAATAAAATATCAAGAAATGAAATAATATTTTAAAATATAAAATGATCACTAATATTTTTTCGATGAAGCCTGGTTTGCAAAAGATGAAACAGTATTATTTATTCCAGAGAAGTTTATATTTTTATACAATAATTATGAAGAAGATAACGTCCAAATGGAAAAAACATGGAAATAAATAGATTTACGTTCTAATATAAAGCATGGAGTACTCGAAAGAGATGATAAAACTGAAGTTTTAGCCCCCAAATGGAAATATTTAATTAGAAAGTATTTTTACTTTGTATTTTTCTATTTATCAAAAAAAAAAGAAAAAAAAATCATATATATAAATATTTATTATTATTTTATTTTTTAAAACAAAAAGAGGTGTACCAATGTAAATAATGAAACAAATAATACTTGATATTTACAAAAGAACATTTACAGATAACGAAATGGAATATTAAATTGCATTAAAAATAGTTTTTAAAGATTAAATTCCTGCTAATTTTAGAAACACTCCTATTTTTATGCAAGACAATAGACCCTTAGAGGAAATAGTTAAAATAAATATTCTAAACAAATAAGGTTATGACGCTTTAAAAAGAATAATGTGGGTTTTAACTGAAATGTATTTTTAAATTGAATATAATCCAATGGTTATTTAAATTGCGTCAATGCTTCTTGTGTTTATTAAAGAAGAAGATGCTTATTGTGTATTAAAGTGTATGATTGAGGATTCTATTAAATTATTAAATACTAATAATTAAGTAAAAAATATTCTAAATTATGCTCATTTATTAATTTTTTCCTTTAAAGGGTGATGAAGTATAGAGAGCTATGAGATGGCATTTTTTAATGAATAAAAATGATTTTGTTAGATTTTTAAAGGCGTTTTTTGATACTGTAATTTAAAAAAGTGCCACTTTTAATCAAATTATTACTCATTTTAAAGAAATTGGATTTGATTATTCTGATTTTTTTGCAGATATTACAAATAGTATTTTTTATGGATATTTATCTTTTTCTGCTGTTGTGAAAGTTTTTATTATGTATATGAATGAAGGAATTAAAGTTTATTTTAGATTTATGTATGCATTATGCTATATGTTAAAAGATGATATTTTGAAAGTATTAATAACTTTAGATTTTATATTTTTATAGAAAAAAAAAAAAAAAAAGACAAGAGATAGATCAACAATGAAAAGCTTAATAAGAAACAAAGGTTTAAATTTAGATTTAAAATAAATAAGATCTATGATACAAGTTTATTATATTTTTAAAGCATTTACATTAAATTTATATTTATTTTAAAAGAAAGGATTTAGCTTAAGATTAACTAAATTTAAGAAATAATTAGATAGATATAGTATAGATCCTAATCAAAAAAATGAAGCGAAAAAAATTTATTATCTTCCTCATTTTAATTAATAATCTAATATAATATAATAAGAATAAGTAAATAACGATAGTCTAATTTAAAATAACTTACTTTTTTTTTTAATTTTTAGTTGGAAATTATTTGGGATTGGCTACCTTCTGTACTTAAGCTTTGTGATCCTATTTAAATATGGGCAACTAGTAAAGATGGATTTTCTTTGAATAATTTATACAAAAAATGTGAAAATTATATAGGTAAATAAATGTTAATTTTAATAAAATCTGATGTTAATAATGCTGTAATATATATATATATATATATATGAAAAAATAAAAAATTGAATAAAATTAAAAAAGATATTCGGTGTTTATTGTGATGAAATGCTTTCTTTAGATTCAAAAAGAACTTATTATGGCTCAAGTGAAACGTTCGTATTTTAGCTATATCCTAATAAAATTAAATATGAAAGTTAAACAGAAGATAACCATCATTGTTATTCTTGTAAGGATTATTTTACTTTTGGATCTAATGGGTAATTTTATTTTTATTTTTTAATAAGCAATTTTAAATTTAGAATTGCTATTATGATAGATTAAGAATTAAACAAAGGACACACAGAAAATTGTTAAACATATAAAAGTGATATATTAACTGGCGAAAAATAAAAAACGAATTTGTTTGTTAAGATTTAGAAATTTATACATTTGAATGAGAAAACTATATATCAAAAATATATTACATATAAATCTTTTTTATTGTTTTTAGTTAATTAATAAAATTTAATAAAATTTGATACCTTTTTTATATAATATTAATATACATAAAATAAAAATTTATAAAAATTAATTTAGAAAATATAAATTAAATAAAAATTAAATAATATTATATATTTTTTTATAAATATAAAAAACTTCTATTTTTAATTAATTCAAACCAAAACTAAAAATAAAATGTAGTAATAAACAAATGAAAGTAGTAGAATGACATCGAACTTCTCTACAACTACCCGAGTTAAGCATAAAATAATATTTTTAGGCGATTAATAAGTAGGAAAATCATGTATTATTGAGCGTTTTATGTATGATGTATTTGATGAAAAATCACATGTATTAAGAAAAAAAATAAAAAAAAAAAAAATAGAGAGATAGAATTAAATTTAAAATTTTATTATATTTTATTTTTTTTAAAAAAAAAATAAGTCAACAGTAGGAGTTGATTTTTTAGCAAAAACATTACATACTGGTGATAAAAGTGTGCGCCTTTAATTATGGGACACTGCAGGTTAAGAAAGATTTAGAAGCTTAATACCTTCATATTTAAGAGATGCAAATTGTGCAATAATTGTGTTTGATGTTACAAGTAAAATAACCAAAAAATATTTTTTTTAAAAAAAATAATAATAAAAAAAAAGCAAAGGAAAGTTTAGATAATATAGATAAATGGATTAAAGATTATAAAGATAATAGAGGAACTGAGGCATATTGTGTTTTAGTTGCAAATAAAATTGATTTAAAATTATGTAAAAAAAAAATTTCAAAAAATATTATTTTTTAAATATTAAAAAAGCAAGGGTTATTACAACTGAAACAGCATAATAAAAAGCATAAAGTTTAAATATGCCGTATTATGAAGTTTCAGCAAAATCAGGGGAAAATATATTAGAGACTTTTAAGTAAGTTTCAACTTATTTACAGTAAGTATAAGAAAATCATAACTAAGATAAAAATGAAAGTTAGTAATAATAATAAATAAATCCAGAACATAGTATGGCTACAAATAAGGAAACTATATAATTAAAAGAAAATCAAAAAAAAGATGAATAATAATAAGTTATTAAAAAAAAATGTTGTTCTTAATGAATTAAAAATTAAATTATTAAATAATTTTAATAAAAAAAAAATATAATTATTAATAAAATAAATAAAATCCTTATAATTTAATATAAAAAAAAAATATATATATATGAAATTAATTATATTAAATAAAAAAATAATATAAATAATAAAAACTTGTTTTAATGCAGTTATAGATGAAATTCTAAAATCTATATATTTATGAGATATAATAAATAATAATAAAATAAAAATATAAAAATTTATTTATTTTTAAATATTTTTTTATAACATAATTTATTTAAAATAACAAAAAAATATTTTATTTAATAAAAATATATAAATATATAAATATATAAATATATAAATATTTATATTTATACATATATATATAAATATTATATATATATATATATTTATATTTATTATAAATAAATAATTACTTTTATATTCTTTATTATTAAATATATTAGGATAAAAATATCTTAATACTATATTTCTAATACTAATAATTTAATCAATAAATAATTTTATATATTTTTTTATATATTTTTTATAAAATATATTAAATAAAATTTTTTAATTAAATATTAAATTTATATTTATTATATAATATTTTTATTTATTAATAATTTACTCATATAATTATTTTTTTATTTTTAATATATAAAATATATATTTTTCTTATTTATTATAAAAAAATTTGTTATAATAAAATAATAAAAATTCATTATTATATATAACATTTTAAACACAAAAATATTGTTATCATATTATTAATTTTGTTTTTTTTTTATATTTACTTCTTTTTTTATTCAATATAATTTTAATTATTATATCTAATATTATATTATTATAATTTCATTTATTTTATTTATTTTTTACAATATTAATTATTATTGAATTATAAAAATATTATCATAAAATATTTATTAAAAATATATAGTTTTTAATATCTTATTTGCAGTGATTTTTAAAATTTATTTAAATTATTTACATATTTTTTAAAATTAAATAAAAATTATTTTTTTATATATATATTTTTAAAAGTAATAATAATATTTAATGTTATTTTTATTAATAAATAATATAATTTATTTAAAAAAATTTAAAAATAACATGCTATTTTTATTTTATAAAGAAAAATATAAAATTAAAAACAGAAAGTATTTATTTAAGTAAATAATATTGAATAAAAAAATCAAAATTTAATTTAAAAAGTTATCAGTATTTAATTAAAAAAAATATAAGAATGTAATTTAAAAAAATTAATAAATAAAAGTTATTATGATGTTATTATCAGTAAATACAAAATATATGGAATAAATATAAATAAAGAAAATATTTATTAAATATTTTATTACCTAAATATATATATATTATATATATAAAAAATTATATATTTATATATATTAATTATATTTATATTTTTATATATACAAATAAAAATATTATTAAAGTAAAGAAAATAAAATAATATAAATTTAAACAAAGTATAGTATAGTAAAGTATAAATAAAGTAAAAAAAAAAAAAAACAAATACATAACAAAACAAAACAAATCAAAACAAAACATACAAAACAAACCAATAAAAAATCAAAAAAACAAAAAAACAAAAAACACAATAAAAAAAAACAATAACAAAAAGAAATCAGATAAAATATATTTAAAAAAAAAAAATGGAATAAAATTCAAATACAACAGATTAAAAAGATTTTTTTTCTTTAAAAAATTCAGAAAGCTTAACATTTATACAATCCAGTGAATCCACAAATGAGAAAAACGAGGATCTATCATAAGAACTTACCAAAAACAATTCCAAAATTCCCGAAAAAATTTTCGAAAAATAAAATCTCCTTGATAAAATGTAAAAATTTAAGCAAGAACTTCTCGAAGCATATTAAAAATCCTAATAAGACTATTAAAAATTAAAAGAAAAGCACTCAAATAATTTGCAAATAGATTAAAAAACAGAATCTTCCAAAAATCTTCTTTCATAATTAGAAGAAGAAAAAATATCTAAATTATCATCAATAAAAATACAAAAAGATTCCAATAATATCACTTTGGAAAAAACTGAAGACATATAAAAACTCAAATCCAAATATAAATAAAAAATTTAAATGCTAAAGGATAATATAGAGGACTTAGAACTTCAAAAAAATCAATTAAATGAAAAAAATATTCATTAAGCAAAGTTTATTTCATAACTTAAACAAGATCTATAGCTTTAAAATGAAGAAAACTTAACCGAAAAAATTAAAAATATGAAACAAAAATAAAAAAATACTTAAAAATTTATTAATTGTATATTTGATATGGTAAATAATTGTTACCCTTAATAAGATAATGGAACTTAATAAGTTCCTAATTTGAAATAAATATGGAAATGTTTAAAAGAAATAATGTAGGAATATATTTATTTGAAAAACTAGGCTTTATATTAAAAAAAATATGGATAAGATTTAATGTTCAAATCTTGCTTAATCCAAAACCAAATATAAGAAAACGAAATGCTTGTTTAAGATATAAAAATGGTTTTGAAAATTCAAAAAAATAAAGAAATACTGCCCTTTATATAATAAATTGTTTAAGAAAATGAGGCTTTTAAATAATTTTAGAGTTAATAAGGATTTATCTAAAATGAACAAATAAAACAAAAACAATAAACTTAAAGTTCTACTTTTAATACTAATTTAGAAAATAATTACAATTTTACTAATGTATAGGCTAAGAAAAAAAGCATTAAATCAAACAAATTAAGATTTTAAAGTCCATAATAATAAAGGTACTAATAAAATTATTTTTAATCAAATCCTTATGCTTATATTAATTTAAATTGAAGATAAAAATAAATATTATATATATAAAAAAATAAAAAATATATAGTTTTTATATTTTGTTTAAAAATCATAATTATTAACAAAAAATTTTGATTTTTTTTAAAATAATTTAAATTTTGTAAATATCATATATATATTTTTTTTATTTGAAAATATTTTTATATTTAATAATATCATCTTAGCATTTAACTCAATATAGATAAAAAAAATAAGTTTTAATCATTTATAAGCTTATTAAATTTAATTTCCTTTAAATTGAATTATAATGAAAATTAAAAAAATTAATATTATTATAATTATTAAATATATATTATTTTTTTTAATTTTTATGTTTTTAAATGAATACTAAATTTTTAATTTATCAAAATTAATAATATCATCAAGAAAATATTAAACATTTTTAATTTTGATTTAAAATATTATCATATTTTAATATTATATTTATTTAAAAATCTATTTAAAAAACAAAGTTTTAAAATAAATTACATTTTTATTTATTTTTTATTATAAATACAATTTTTTAAAATATTTTTTCTCATTAAATTAAATGATTGATATATTTTTTATTTATTTTTAATATATTTATGTATATATATATTTATAAATTAAATACATTATATAGAGTTTTTATTTTTTTACAATAAACATTATTAAAATAAAACTTTACTATTTTTATAAGTTTCCATTTAAAAATTTTTAACTTTACTTTGTTTATATTCTTATAAATAGTAATATTTTTTTCATCAAATAAATATATCTTTTAATTATTTAAAGAACTATTATTAATATATTAGCTTTATTTTTCTTAATTAGTTTAATAAGCATCATATACATTTAATAATCTAATATACTTATATATTTATTTTTAAATTAAAATATTTTCCAACAAAAATAAAAGATTTTAATTAATAAAGGTTATTTGTATTTCTATTGATTTTATTTTTCTTACTTTTTTATTTAAGAAAAAAAGTTAATTTATTTTTCCATAAAAGTGTCTTAAAAATTTTGACTTTGATAAATTAAATTTCTTTTCTCAAAAAAATAATATTGATAATATATTCATAAAATTACTATTTTTTATTTATAAAATTTAATATTTAAACCTTAAATATTCTAAAACATTATGTATATTATAAATTAAAAGAAAATTTTTTATATAATTTTTAGTTATAATTATATATATCTTTTAATTTAATTCTTTTTTTTTTTTTAACCTCTTATATTTTATTTATAAACTATTTATAATGTTATTTCTTTATTCAATTTACGGTTTTTTATACTTTAAATACATTCCAAGCAATCCAAATTGTTTTTTCCTATTCCTATATTTATTCCATTTGTTCGTTTTATATTCAATTTATTGAAATTATTAATGTTATCATTTTAAAGAATTAATTGTTTATTTTTATTTTTTAAATGTTTATTTTACTATATTATAAATATACGATTTAATTTAATTTTTTTAATTTAATATTATAAGTTATTATATTTTAATTCGTAGTTCTTTCATTAAGATATTTTTTATTCTTTTTTAATTTAAAATGTATATTTATTTTTTAAATATAAGATAAAATATATTAAATATAGTAATAATAACATAAAATATATATATATAATCATATTTATTTATATTTTTTTTGATAATATATTATTTAAACTAAATTTCTCTAAACTTTTTTCTAAATTTATATAAAAAATTTAAAAATTATATAAAATTTTTACTAATAAAATAAAAATTTATTAAATAAATTATTATTTAAAAAATTTTCATTTTTAAAAATTAATAAATAAATTATTATTTAAAATAATGCTTTTAAAAATTAATAAATATATTATTATTTAAAAATAAAAGAAGTAAATAAAATTAATAAATTTTTTATAAATAAATAGAATAATATATATATTATAAATATCTAAATATCCAATTTTTAACATAAATTTATAATTTTTACAAAAATTCCTATTTTAAAAATGAAATTAATATTGCTGCTCTATAGGTTTTCTGATTAAAACTCTTCTTAACTATAACAATTTACAATTTCCAATTAATCTAAATATTTTTCTCATAATTAAAAGCCTTATTATTAAATTTGTTAAGAATTAGAATCATTAATTTATTTAATAAATTATTTATTTAAATGAATAATAATTTTTCTTTTATTTAAAATTTTTACAAATTAATATTTTAAAGCCAAATATAATTTTATTTGTTTTGATTAAAAAAATCAATCTAATATTTCTAAATCTTTTTCTAAAGGCTTTTTATAAATAAGCAAATATTTCTAATTTAAATAAATAAAATCTCATATTTTATTATATTTATTATATGGTTTTTTAATTTTAGATTCATAATGTATTTAAAAAGCTTATTCGCTATTTTTTCCCTATTTAATTATTTTTCCAAAAACCTCCTTACTAAATTTCCTTTATAAAGTTAAAATAACAAATTTTTTTATTCATTATATAAATTTTTATAAAGATAAATAGAATTCTTATTTTTTTAAAAAAAAAAAGGATTTGAAGAAAAAATTAATTTAGTTTTAACCATTTTATATTATAAAAGTATTTTAATTAAATATAAAATGCTCTTAACACATAATTAATTAATTAAATATTTTCTTTTAAAAATATATTATTAAATTATATGTATTTATTTAATTTTTGTTGAATAAGAAAAATGTATTTATTTTTTGTTAAATATAAGAAAAATGTATTTAATTTTTGTTAAATAAGAAAAATATATTTAAAAAATGTTAAATAAGAAAAATGTATTTAATTAATAATTTTTTTTAAAATAAAATATTTTTATTACTTTATATAAATTAAATAATTATATATTTATTTTATAAGATTTTTATTTAAGATATATAATACTTTTTTTATCAAATAATTAAACAAATAATAGTATATAATATATATTAAAAATTATCTTTAAAACTCTATTATTAATTTTTTTTTTATATTAACAAAAGCAAATGAATTTAAACGAACTTTTTATCCTTTCACAATAATAAAAATATTATGAATTAGTCTAAAAATTAGATTAAAATGAATAAAGATTTAATAAATAAGCAACATAAATAATTTTATAAATAATTAATTAGGACATGGAATAAAACTTCTTAATATTCTTATATACAATTACTTACTTAGATCCAAAGACAAATTTGAATTTATATGAAAGATTAATAAGGTCAGTAGGAAACGGTCAATAAGCAATTTTCAAATTAGATAGACTTTATAAAGTAATTGAAAATTTTAGAAATGCTATGCTTGAATAAGGATAAACAATAAAAACAATAAAGCTTTACGAAGTAATAATATATATAAAAATTATTTAAAAATATAAAACAAGAATATACTTAATTTTAAAGGTTTTAATTAATAGTCTTTCCAAATAAAATTTGAAAATAACTAGATTTCATACGTACTTTTTAGAAGCCTGCTTAATTTCTAAAATGTATAAAAGTGCATTAAGAATTATTGATGTACCAATAGTTTAATTAGATTCTAAATCATGTATAAATTTTTATATTTATTAACATTTTTATATTTATTTATAATAAAAAAGGTGTTAATGAAGAAGATGTATTGAATTTTTTTTACTTTTCAGGATGTATATACCTCGGTTTAAAGGTTTTTTTATTATTTTATTTATTAATTGATTTTTTTTATAATCAAGAGATATAATGATGCTAAATAAGCATTTTCTAAGACAATTAAATTATATACTTTTGATTTAAATGAATCTATTATTGAATCATCAAAAAAATATTTCTTATTAAAAATTATGAATGGAAAAGTAATTAAAATATGGAAAAAAAAAAACTATATATAAAGGAAATAAAAGAATAGAAATTTTATAATTATGGAAATGTTCATATGAAAACAATGCACACACTTTTAAATTTATATAAATATGCCGAAAAAAATTTAGAGTAATTTGATTAATTTGCAGCTGTAAATATAGATGAGTTTAAAAGGGATGGAAATTATGTAAAAAATAGTATATATATATATTTTTAAATAAATATATGATTTTTTTTAAAGGATTTACTAATTTAATCAAGAGGAAATTTCGCAGTTAAATAATTGAGAAATTTATAAGAATTATACTATAGAATATAAATAAGGTTTATTTTAAAAAATTATTTAAAAAATAAAAATAAAATAAAGCAAACTATAATAAGAAATATAGCCTTAATTTTAAGATATAACTTAATTTTAATATTAAGTAAATAAAATTGAATAAATGTTCAAAATAAATAGAAAATAAGATTGCATTGAATTTATCTAAAATACTTAAGTCAACCATTAAAAATAAATTTTGGAACCTTTAGGCAAATAATATGGCTTAGTAATACTAATTTTTATTATTCTATTTATATATTTTAATTTAAAAGCTTAAAGAAATCAAATATTCTTATGAAAAAGAAAACGAATAAATGATTTTAGAGAGACTTTAATAACCAGATGCAATAATAATTTGAGATAAATATTTATCCTTAAAAAATTTATAAAACAAAGTAATATTAATATATATTTTTAATATCTATTTAGTTTATAATTTTTTTTTTTTTTTTTTTAATAAATATTATAATAAAATACTTATATCAATAAATATATAATGACTTAAAAAATATGAGTTTTTTTGATATTTAATTTAATATTTTTAATTTCTTTATAATAATCTAACAAATCTTTATATTTATATTCAGAGAAAAATATAAATATATAATAGAAGTAATAATATTAATAATATTATATGAAATTTAAATTAAAATATCATAAATATTTAATATTTATTTAATTTAAGAGGCAATAAATAAATATATAATATATTAAAAAATCAATAATATTTCAACAAAACAATAGTATAATATAAGAAAATATTTAATCCAAGATTTTTATATAAAAATGAATATTATTTATAGTTATAAAAACAATAAATAAGATTTAAAGCTTTCTAGAAATTTTATCATAAAAAAAAAATATTAAGAAAGCAAAATATATTTTATAGACAATTTTTTTTTTTTTGTTAATAGAATAATAGTATTATTAGTTTTTAATGTTAAAACACAAAACCAGAGCCTATATAAATAGAAAAAAATCAATTATAAAATTTTTATTTAAAAAAAAAAGAATTTAATATTGAAAAATAAACTCAATTTAAATATTAATTATTTTTTTTTTCATATGGAGGTAAAAACCCATCAAATAATATGAACGAAGAAAAATAGTTTATTTATGTCATTAGTCAATAAAAAAAAAAATGTATGAATAATTAATTAATAAGAATAGGAATTATAAAAATATAAATACAAAGTACAAAATCCTTAACAAAAATAATGAAAAAAGTTAATTACTTACTATATATATAATTTATTAAAGGAAAAAAAGTGAGAGCTTTTTAAGTATAAATTACATAAATATAATAATAAGAAAATTAATCGAAATTCCATAAAGAAATTCAAGCCCATATAAAATAATTAAAATCAAGTCATTGAAAATAAAATTTATCAATATATTTTTATTATCATTTGCTTTTAAAGAAATGTATTTTATTTTAATATATTGTTTTTTAAAAAAAATCATTATTAAGAATAACATATAATTTAAAACCGATTTCTAATAATTGTATTTTAAGTAATTTATAATAATGAAATATAAAAAATAAGCAATTACAATACGATTAATATAAATGACATATTTTTTCAATTATTTCCTATTTATTATTATTTCTAAAGAAAGCAAATACATATTTAAAATAGAGCATAAATGAAATATAACATAAGAATATTTTAATAAAAGAAATTATATACATATATATTCATTAAATGAATACGTTAGTAATCAAATATATAAATTTTAGAAATATTTAAATTATAATCTTTGAAAAAAAAAAAAAAAAACTTTAAATTTTAGAAATATTTAATTAGGAATAAATTAAAAAATAATTTAAAAAAATTTAAATGAATTTAATTTGATATAGGAAAAGATAAAGAAATCGATATTATTAATATTAAAAAATTAAAAAAAGTTTTCTAAAATTATATTTCATTTTTTGAAAAAAAACTCAAGAGCAGATTAAAAGTTTTCTAAAATTCTTAATATTAATCTAAATATAATTAAAAATTTAAATAAATATCAGAAATAAAATCAGCATATATATTATATTTTATAATAATGACCATTTTAAATCTAAAAAAAACCTATAATTCCTTTATTTTTATTCCAAAATTTGATATCAAAGATATATTAAAGAATAATAAAAAACAATAATTATCCAATTAATTAATTATACATATACATATAAATTTATCCCAAAATTTTTAATTTAAAGCTATGATAAGTTATAAAATTAAATAAATATTTAAAATTAATAATTAATTTTCCTTATTTTATCAAAACGACTGAAATTTTTTTAATTAAAATTGCTTTTTGAATATATATATAATATAAAAAGAAAGCTTTTTTTTATTTATAAAAAAATAAAAGAATTTAAATATTTATTCGAAATAAATTATGGCATTAGAAAATTATTAACAAAAAAAAATTGATAATTTAATTTTCATTAAATTTTTTAATTTAATTAAAAAAAAAAAAAAAAAAACTTTAATATGTATTTTTTTTATATAATATTCAATAATTTAATAATAAAATAATAATAATTATATCTCTTTAACCTAATTTTAAAATATATAGAGGTTTAAATTTACAATAATTTAACAAATATTTGATGATGAAAAATTATTAAATTAATAATTATTTTTTATTAAAGTAAAATTAGTAATATTTTATTGATGTATGTATCTAAAAAATAAATATTTAAAGAAATTTAACATATAAAAATACAATTTAGAAGAAAATAATAATATTTTACTTAAAGTTTTTTAAAAATCAAGAAAAAGTAACAAAAATTAAATAATAATAAAAATAAAAATAAAATAATACTGGGAACTATTAATCTTTTTTTTTAAAAAAATAATATTATAATTTATTAATAACGATAATAAATTATAATAAAATAAAAGCTTTTATAATTTTTTTTATTATATAATAATTACATATATACATGTTATAAATAACTTATATTAGAATATAATTATCAACTTTTTCTAATATTTTATAAAGAAAATATTTAAAATTTAATTTTTTTTTTTTTTTTTATGAAATTAAAAAAATTATAATTTTTAGAAATTTTTTATAATAAAATTTTGTTTGTTTATTTTAAAAATAAATAAACATAACATTTTATAAAATAAAAAAATAAGATTAAATATTTTGTTTATTTTTTTTTGAAAAAAATTAATATACATAAATATATAAATATTTAAAACAATGGGATATTTATTTTATATATAAATTATAAAATTATCATACTCTTTTCATATAAAATTAAATCATATTTATAAATAAAATTTAAAATTGTTTATAAATCAATAATTTTCGTTTTTATTATTAATACTTTCTAAAAAGTTATTGTTTTAATACTTTTTACCTGTGAAAAAATCTATTATTAAATAAGAAATTAATAATATTTTTTTTTTTTTCCCAATTAAAAATAAAAAACTTTACTTAAAGAATATATAGAAGAAGAAATAGATTTAGATTTAATAGAGCTTTAATTATTTTTAGAACACAAAGAGAATCTTTCATTATTTTCCTATAAATTATAAAAAGATCTATAAGTAGTTAATCCGTATTAATAAGTTTTTATAAGTGTTGAAATCTTATCTTATTTATTATCATCATCATCATTATGATTATTTTGAAATGGTTTTTTTTTACTTTATTTTTCGTTTTCAAATTTTTCAATATCTTTAATTAAAAAATAATTCTATTTTTTTATTTTATTTTATTTTTTTTTTTAAAAAAAAAAACACCTTTACAAATATCTTCCAAAGTTAACCCTTTTTCTTATTTATTATTGCTTTTTTAAAAATTATTAATTTTCAAAACTGCCACATTGTTATTACTATCATATAAAACAGCTTTTTCAAAACATTCAAGCGCATTTTCTAAGTTTCCAAGTCTTTAAAAGCATTCTCCTTAGTAAAAATAAGCTTCTGAATAATCAGTTTTTAAATAAATTGATTTTTCCAAAGATTACAAAGCAAGCTAATATTACTTATTTAAATATTATATTTTTCCCAAAATAAACATTTATTTATAAATGTTTTTTTTGTAATATTTATTTGTACTTTTATCAGATAAATCAATTAATTTTATCTAATTTTAAATGGCTTCATTATATTCTTCTATTTTTATCAAAAGAGAAATCTTACTTTGTAAAACAGGAATTTAGACAGGGTTTATATTTAAACAATCATTATAACTTTAAATTGCTTATTTATAATTTTTTAATTTTTCTTAAACTAATGCTTTTAAATAAAATGCGTTTACATTTTTTGTTTCTAAGTTTGTAAATTGTTCCAAGCATTCTAATGACTCTTTATATTACTTTTATTAATAAAAAATATTTCCTTTGTTAAATAAAGCAGTGTATGAAATTTAATCTATTTAAAGAATTTCATTTTGACAATTTATATATTCTTAATATTATTTTAAAAATAAATAACAATCAGCCTTTATATATAAGTATTGTATATTTTATAATCCATTTTTTTATATCT